TTCATTGCCAAATGGGATTTATTCCAGGAGCAAGATTAGATTTGGTGTTTGAAAATCAAATGTTCTTCACTACATTAACAGAATGAGGGAGGAAAATAATGGGATTATCTTAATAAAATAAAAGAAATTTATATAGTTTAACATCTATTCATGAAAAAGAAACTCTAAACAAACAAGAATAAGAGATAATTTCCTTAGTCTAATAAAGGATGGCTACAAACAACCTACAGCCAATCATACTTATTAGTGAAATACTGATCATTTTCCCCCTGAGGTTGGAAACAAGATAAGGATATCCATCTGCTATTACCACTTTTATTCAGCATTATATTGGAGATCCGAGGCAGTGTAGTAAAGCAGGAAAAAACTACATATAAAATTTGAAAAGAAAGAAGTAAAACTGTCAATTTTTAGAGTTGACATGATTGTATATGTAAAAAAATCTAAACAAATATGCAATTAGCATTAATAAGTGACTTTAGCAAGGGTGCCAAATACATAGAAGTATTTTAAAAAATCAATATATTAGTGAAAATAATATATTCTGTATATTAGCAGTAGAATTTAGAAAATTAAATTTTAAAAGATACTATTTACAGTAGCATCAAAATATATACCTAAGACTATATCTAACAAGAGATTTGCAAAACTTCTGTTATGAAAACTATAAAACATGGCTCAGAAAAATTAAAGTCCTAAATAAATGGAGGGGATATATAATGTTCATGGACTGGAAGACTCAATGTGATTATATCAGTTCTCCTTAAATTGCTCCTAATCAAAATCCTAGCAAGTTGGATTTTTTTTTTTTTGCAAGGGTATGGGTGGTAGGATGGTGAAAGAGGGCAGAACTGATAAACTTTAAAATTTATGTGAAAATGCAAAAGTTCTAGAATAGCTGGGAAAGTTAGAGTGATAAAGATAGTGTAGTGTTGGCTAATACCACAGTCTCAGATCTATGTATACTGAGATACTATAGTCAGAACAATCACCTGACTATGACAAAGGTACAGTATGATGCAATGGAATAAGGATAGTGGTTGTGTGTGTGTGTGTGTGTGTGTCCGTTTTGTTTTTGTTAATCCTCACCTGAGGATATTTTTTCCATTGATTTTTTAGAGAGAGTGGAAGAGAGAGAGAGGAGGTGGCTGGGAGGGGCAGGGCAGGGATGGAAAGGTGTGTGAGACACATCAGTTGATTGCCTCCTACAGGAGCCCCACTTAGGGCAAACCCTGTGGTGGACAGGCTGACACTCTAACCACTGAGCGAGCACACCAGCCAGGGCAAGGAGGGTGTGTTTTAACCTTTTCCTTTTAAACTTTTGTGTCTGTGTATTTAAAAGTGTATTTCTTTATTGACTATATAATTTGGACATTTTAAAAAATCCAGGCTGAAATGTTTACCTTTTATAGCTAGGGTTTAGTTTATTTACATTTAATGTAATTACTAATATATTTAGGTTTCAGTCTACCATGGTCCTATTTGTTTTACATTTTTTCCAATTTTTTTGTTTCCTTTCCTTCTTTTGGATTAGTTAAATAATTGCTAATATTATATTTACTTCTCAATTAGCTTTTTAGTTATAATTACTAGAGGCCCGGTGCATGAAAATTCATGCATTGGAGCGGGGGTCCCTCAGCTCGGCCTGCCCCTTCTCACAGTCTGGGAGTCCTCAGGGGCAGGAGGTGACCCAGCGATCAGAGGAAGGTGGTGCCCCATCACACCTCTGCTACTGCCACTGCCGGCAGCGCAAGCCTTGGATGGCCCTGGTTTCCTGAGCCTCGGACTGCCCTGGGCGGCTGTGCAGCCGTCATATAAGGCTTGCCCGCGCCTCGGGCCGCCCCAGCGGGGCTGAGGGGACTGGATGCTGCCATCTTGTGGTTGTGGGTGCCGCCACCTTTGAGGGCGGGGCACTCAGCATATTCCCTCTTTATTAGATAGGATTCCTAATCTCTCCACTTTAAGTGCATCTATGTTTTTTATTTTCATTAAATGTTGATTAAATAAACTCTCCTTTTAAATGAGTGTCAAACAGTGGTGTAATAGAACTAATCCCTCAAAGGCGGGGTGGAATGCAAATACTAAATAACTGTTTTTTCAATTAAGTCTTACTGATCTCATCAGTTAAAGGATCATCCTAACTCATTACTTATTAGTGATTACCTTAAAGATGATCATTCAAAAGTGATCTGTGGTCACGTGCAGGCAGCATCTCTGATTGGATACAGGGAAGGCATCTGTGAGTGGGAGCCTGAGGAAAGTGACCTCTCTTCATTATCCTCATGGTAATGGTGGGTTAGAGGCAGCAACATTATTTGTTTTGGCTTTGATGACTCTGTTGAGGTATTAGAACAACATTTCTGGATGGAAATTGGTCCATGGTTCTCTATAAAATTTGGAGCATATATGTGACTGGAGGCCCGGTGCACGAAATTCATGCTCTGGGGCGGGGGTTGTCCCTCAGCCCAGCCTGCACCCTCTCCAATCTGGGACTGCTGGCTCTTAACCATTCGCCTGCCTGCCTGATCACCCCCTAACCACTCCCCTACCTGCCTGATCACCCCCTAACCGCTCCCATGCCAGCCTGATTGACACCTAACTGCTCCCCTGCCGGCCCGATCGCCCCCAACTGCCCTCCTCTGCTGGCCTGGTCACCCCCAACTGCCCTCCCCTGCTGGCCATCTTGTGACAACATGGGGACGGCCATCATGTGATGATGTGGGGGCAGCCATCTTGTGATGTCATGGGGCGGCCATCTTGTGATGATGTGAAGGCTTGAGGGTTAATTTGCATATTACCCCTTTATTATATAGGATTTTTTGGAATGAGACCTTGTAAAAATTATGGTGAATCTAAAAGGATTAAGAACTCATGCATTGCAGAGATATTAAATGAATACGGGAACAGGTGAGCAGGAATTCTTCCCAGGGTTGTGTCTCATGGAATCAAAAAATGAAGCTGAAGTGTGGATCAGAGGAGTTCAAAACAAGGCAGGAGTTTTTTGCAAACCAACATAGTCTCCCCAGCATTCTGCTCTTCCCCTTATATCTGCTAAAGGCCTGCTCTTTGTCTATCTGTGCCGCTCTCTGATTGGTTTCTGGCCTTTTTGCAACATTTTATTTTGCACTTGTAAGAAAAACGTCTTTGTTTCAAAACACCCTGTTTTTCTGCAAAACATTTTTTTGTTTGTTTCAGCTACTCCACGATTCCTCCTTCTTCTACTCCTAACCCTATCTACTAATTCTGCTTTAACTCCTCTCAGTAATAACTACCATTTATTAAGGGCCCAGTATGTTAATTTGTTCTAGAAGCACTTCGTGGTAATTCTCTACATCTCTATGGTTCCCATTCTACATACAGATGAGGGAGTAAATGGACTCAGGGTTATTAATATTGTCAAAGACACAACCAGAAGATGGCAAAATTAACCCAGATTTCTAGTTTTTATACTCCTAACTGCAGTCTCCATTATTAATGGAGAAATGAATTTTGCCTGATGACAAATTAGGATAAGCATATGTATCTTTGTGAAAACTCAGCCCCACCAAAGGATACCTTATATTATAGTCTACTGGGAATAGACTTGTTTGTTTTTTTGTTAGTCCTCACCCGAGGATGTTTTTCTCATTGATTGGGAGGGAGGGAAGCGGGGGGGAGAGAGGGAGAGCGAGAGAGAGAGAGAACATGGTGAGAGAGGCGGGGGGAAGAGAGAGAGAGAGAGAGAGAGAGAGAGAGATTAGTTGCCTCCTGCACTTGCCCTGCCTGGGAGTCAACCTGCAACCCAGGTACATGCCCTTGACCGGAAATCGAACCTGAGACCCTTTGGTGCCCAAGTGGATGATCTATCCATTGAGCCACATCAGCCAGGACATAAACCTTTTTTTTTTTAATGGCCTTTTTTTGCCATGGCCGGTGTGGTTCCATTGGTTGGGCGGCATCCGTGCACCAAAAGATTACCAGTTTGATTCTCAGGGCACATGCCCAGGTTTCAGGCCGATCCCCCATAGGGGGTATGCAGGAGGCAGCTAATCGATGCTTTGCTCTCACATTGATGTTTCTCTCTCTCTCTCTCTCTCTCTCTCTCTCTCTCTCTCTCTCTCTTTCTCCCTCTAAAAAATCAATTAAAAAATTAAAAAATAATAAAATGACCTTTTTTTCTCTATACATAGTTTACATTAGAATATGCTGACATAGTATTTGTTTTCCTTCTAAGAGGAGTAATTGTAGTGGTTGAGAGGGCACTGAATTTGAGGTAGCTGTGAAATTGTGCTCAGTCTATAAGTTATCCTCCTGTAAAGTAAATAGTACCCGTCTAACTAATTTCAAAGAGCTGTCATGAAAATTAAACAAGGCAGTATATTTGTAAATGCTTCAGAAACTTTCAGGCTCCTTAAAAATGAGTAGATAAAAGTTGGCACACTTTTTAAAAATTGATTTCAGAGAGGAAGGAAGAGGGAGTGAGAGATAGAAACATCAGAGAGAATCATTGATTGGTGGCCTCCTACATGCTCCACACTAAAGGCATGTGCTCTGACCAGAAATGAAACCATGACCTCTTGGTTCATGGGTCAAAGCTCAACCACTAAGCCATGCCGGCAGGGCAAAACTTAACACACTTTATAAGTATGAGAAACACTTTTTTATGTACAATAGGAATGAAAGAAAACTGCCTGTTAAATTCACCTGCTATTGATTATACAACATAGCCCAATTTCAGAAGTATTAAAATATGGGAAGCAATGTGCATCTTGGAATTGATAAAATATGGTATATTGTGGTGTGTTACTCTTTTGAAGTTCTTCCATAGAGTTCTCTGTGTTTGGAAACCATTGAATTTATTTTATCCTGGTCTCTTTAATGAACTAGGCTACAAGTGATTGATTGACAGATTTCTTTTGCATGCAGTAGACTTTTTCAAATATTTTTTGCAAGGTCAGTGTCATTTATATTAAAAATAGCATATATCTTTTTTTCTTTTTCTTTTTTTTTTTTTCCTCCAGTAAGATGAAGGGAATGTCCAGACATTCACAGATGGCAAAGATCAGAAGTTCTGGCAGACATCACAAGTGGGAAAATGACTGTGCCGGACAGAGAACAGCCATCGGATCAAGCAATTCCTTGGTTGATTCAAAGCCTGAAGGTCCACCCAAGGCAAATGCAGACCCTCTGAGTGTTTTGGTAAATACTGATTCTGGTAAGTTAATCCGGGAAAAGGTGTGTTTGTAAGTATAGGCAATGATGCTGAGGTAGATTCTTGGCAGCATTGTTTGTAGAGAGTTTAATGGCAAATATGTAAAAATGTAGAATGATGCTTTTGCTTTTATTTTATTACAGAAATTCCTTGTAAAAAACCTCATTTCAGGACATCTTTTCTGAACTGGGGGTAGATGTATGAGGCAGACAAGATGTGGAAGAAAGATAATATATGTTGGACAATTTCCATAGTATGATGTAATCTATTACCTTTCCTTCCAATAGCATTGGGTGGCTTTATCTAATTGCATGTGTTTCCTCATTTGCAAAGGAGTATTATTAGTGAGTGGGCTAACGTTACATTGTAGGTTTGCCAGCAGCCTCTGTTCAGCCTGGAAAATAGTGGCTTCACATGACAGATTATTGAACTTGTTTCCTTATAATAAACCTTTTACATATGTACTGTTAAGAACTCTGTAATATTGAGTGGTCTTTGTTGCTTTTGTTTTGTTAGCTTTGGTAGATGGATAATTCTGTTTTCTCATTTTATAAAGAAAATTTCTTAATCCTCACCTGAGGATATGTTCATTGATTTTAGGGAGAGAAAAAAGGAGAGAGAAAGAAAGAAATATCGATGTGAGAGAGAAACATTGATGTGAGAGAGAAACATTGATCAGCTGCCTGCTATGCACCCCCACTGGGGATCAGAACCCGAAACCTACATATGTGCCCTGACTGGGAATCGCACCCACAACCTTTTGGTGTATGGGACAGCGTTTCAACAAGCTGAGCAACCCAGCTGGGGCTGTTTTCTCATATTTCTCATAAAGAAGTATTTCAGTATGTGCTAATCTGGTGAAATAGCAATGAAAAGATGATTATATATATCTTGCTTTTACTTAAACCTGTAGCTAGGTCTTTAAGAGACACTTTAGATAAGAGCAACAGTAATAAAAACCTTTCATCCTCATTTTGTGGGGGAAATTCCATGTAAACTCATGTTATCCTTTACCTCAGATTTTTTCTGGATGTTTACATTTTCCAAATCAGTGTTTAGACAAACTGGTTTTTCAACTTTTCATTACAGGTTCACTACAGAAAACCACATGTGCCATTTTTTTTTCAGATGCCCTAAATATTCTCTCCAGTATATTAGCCTTATACTTGTTTGGAAGCAGCTTCCTTCACCTTGGGCCAGAGCCAGTCAAATCCAGTTGTGTGCTAATTATTCAGGGTGCAGCACAGCAGTGTGATAATGGTGTTGTTTGTGCTCTCATGTAGCACTTAACACTTCTCAGCATAAAGCTGACTTTCAGAATGGAGATCTCCCAATTCCTTCTATTTTTTTGCCTTTTTTTTTCTTGGCTCAGAATCTAATCCAGACATTAGCATTCACATTTTAGATAAGACAACAGTTCTTAATCTTTATAAACCTCATATCATACTTAGAAAATCTTTACCTGAGCCCTCCTTTTTGTAATACTTGGTAGTTTGTCAACTCTCACTAATTGTGCAGATGCTTTAAACGTAGGATTGACAGTGTTTCAAGGGGAAGCATATCATTTGGAGTCTCCCAGTTTATCACTTTTGAGTATGGCCTGTTGTCACTAGATTTTCTTTTAAACTTTTTGGTATCTCATTTGTTTGGACCACGTTTATTTTGTTGCTGTTCTTTCAATATACATACAACATGTTTTATGGTTTTCCTGGCCTGTGGTTTTAATAAGTTTTCACTGAGCACGAAAGAAAGGAGCTGGTCAGTAATGTGTCCTTGAGCATTGCTGACTGAAGCGCCTCAGCAGCCACAAAACAAAAAGGACCCAGTTTGTCATTCATTCATTGTGATATAGCTATTATAGAACACTGACTAGGACAGCATTCTTTGCACTGACATAAGCTAAATGGGCTTCTGTTGTTTAAAAGGTAGATGTTAAAGAAAATAAGCAGGCCTAGCACACCTGCTGTCATGAATGCCCATTGTTGAATATCTGTTTTTGAGTTGGAAACCATAAAACCAAGTTTGCATTTTTTAAGGATGATTTTTTTCAATAGATAGCATTTTCTTTACAAGACTTAATTTGAAAATGTTCTTGAGGTTAGACTAGAGCAGCCGTGGGCAAACTACGGCCCGCGGGCCAGATCCGGCCCATTTGAAATGAATAAAACTAAAAAAAAAAAGACTGTACCCTTTTATGAAATGATGTTTACTTTGAATTTATATTAGTTCACACAAACACTCCATCCATGCTTTTGTTCCGGCCCTCCGGTCCAGTTTAAGAACCCATTGTGGCCCTCGAGTCAAAAAGTTTGCCCACCCCTGGACTAGAGCATATAACTAACTGTGTTTTGTTCCATAAGGGCAATAGCAAATGGTAGGAGGATGCCCTGCTGGTGTAGCTCAGTAGTTGAGCATCAACCTATGAATCAGGAGGTCACGGTTCCATTCCCGGTCAGGGCACATGCCCACGTTGTGGGCTCGTTCCCCAATGGGGGGGCATGCAGAAGGCAGCTGATGGATGATTTTCTTTCATCATTGATGTTTCTATCTCCCCCTCTCCCTTCCTCTCTGAAATCAATAAAAATATATTTTTTTAAAAAGAAAAGAAAATGGTAGGAAGAGAGACAAGTAAAGAAATAAATTGTAGAAAGAAGCCAGATATGAAGCTTTTACAACTAGTGTGGAGAGTTGGGCAAGGCATTCAGAAGGCAATTTTTTTTTTCTGTTTTCATTTTCATAGGGATTTACTGAGATCTTGCTTTTTGCTTGTCTAGCACTATGATTCAGAGAAGTCTCTCTCTGCCTTCAAGAAACTCAGTCTAGTGATAGGTTTTAGATTATTGTATTATATTTTTGGTTAGTGGGAATATGATATGTATACATGAGAAGTGAGATTTACCATAAGAAAAGTTATCAGTAGTGTTTTAACAGTAAGAGAAATTATTTGAGCTGGTATTTTATAATCATTTTAAAGTTTAATTTAATCATCTTCATTGCTACTGTTTTTATAGTGACGGTTTTAGTTTAGAGAAATGTTTTGGCTGTTTTTATTAAAAAGTGAGTGAAGCCCTCGCTGGTTTGGCTCGGTGGATAGAGCATTGGCCTGTGGACTGAAAGGTCTCAGGTTCAATTCCGGTCAAGGACACATGCCCGGGTTGTGGGCTCGCCCCATAGTGGGGGTCATGCAGGAGGCAGCTGATCAATTGTTCTTTCTCATCATTGATGTTTCTGTCTCTCTTTTCCCTCTCCCTTCCTCTCTGAAATCAATAAAAAAAAATGTTACATATAGAAAAAAGTGAGTGAAGCCCTAGCCGGTTTGGCTCAGTGGATAGAGCATGATATTGCGGACCAGAGGGTCCTGGGTTCAATTCCCGTCAAGGGCATGTACCTCAGTTTAGGCTACTCCTTGGCCCGGGCCCTGGTCGAGGCATGTGCAGGAGGCAGCCAATCGATGTGTTTCTCTCACATCGATATTTCTCTGTCTTTCCCTCTAAAAATCAATGGAAAGATATCCTTCGGTGAGGATTAAAAATAAAAAGGTGAGTGAAGTTTGTTGAGTGTTATTCTGTCAGCTAGTACAGTGTCTTTGGCATAGTCTTTCCAGGGTAGCTTCTCAAAATGCCTCTGTTAGAACTGGTAGGTGTGTCTGGAGGGCTTTGGAAACAGCTTTCTCTTTTGAGATGAAAAGTCACCTTACTAAACGTTTTGATCAAGTCAAAAGGGATAGCAGCCCTTTTCAAAGTGTTATTTTGTGTGGTGGATTTCCAATACACAGTTAAGGGGGAATAAAATAGGGAAGGAGTTGTTCATTTGTGTGAATTCCTAACTCTTACCTTTGGGAAGGCAGTCAGGTATAGTGAGCTTCGTGACACTCCTAGTAATCATGATAACACCAAACATCAAGATTGTGGTTTTACCATTCTCCAATTAAAGAGACTAGACCAGAGTTTTTTGGAGAAATAATTGAAGTTTGGGAAAGGGAAAATATAAGGTGAGCCTAGAGCAGGGGTGGGCAGACTTTTTGACTTGAGGGCCACAATGGGTTCTTAAACTGGACCGGAGGGCCGGAACAAAAGCATGGATGGAGTGTTTGTGTGAACTAATATAAATTCAAAGTAAACATCATTACATAAAAGGGTACGGTCTGTTTGTTCAATAGTTTTATTCATTTCAAACGGGCCGTAGTTTGCCCATGGCTGGCCTAGAGCATTTAATACAGTGCCAGACAGGAAGAAAGTGCTCAAAAAACATTAGGATGTGGGAATGTCAGAAGGATATAAGGACCAACTGGAAGTGCTCCCAATGGCTAAACTTGTAACAATTTTGAGCTACAACATAAATAGTAATAGATTATAGCCAAAAGAATACAATAGATATTCATGGGTCTATACTGATATAAATAAATGTGGGGAGGAGGGACAACTCTTTTTTATAGAAGAATTTCAATAATAATTGTAGAAGGGTTAGGGAGAAATAGAAAGTCACCATTAGAACACCACAGTAATATTTGTTTCAGGCAAGAGCCACTGGTGAATGGTACTTTAAGGTAAAATAGAGTATTTATATAGCCTCAAAATATCTCCCCCAAATATTAGGTAGTGATGTTGAACAGGCAGTTAGATTATTTTGGAGTTTAGGGGAAAATTGAAGGCTGCAGGTATAAATGTATAATTCACCGGCATCTAGGTAGTATTTTAAAATTTGAGATAAAATGGAATCATAGGAGGAGGCAAAAAGAAAAACTCAATGAGAATTGGAACTAGGGGCACTTGAAAAATTTGGAAGTTGGTCAGTGAGGAGGATTCAGTAGGGAGACTGGGAAAGCAGAGCTAAGAGAAGAGGGTCTGGAAGCCACATGAATAAAATGTTTTTTAAAAGGTAAAACATGAGCCCTGGCCAGTGTGGCTCAGTTGGTCAGAGCGTTGTCTCATGCACCGAAGGGTCATGGGTTCAATTCCTGGCCAGGGCACATATCTAGGTTGTGGGTTTGATTCCTGGTCATTGTATATATGGGAGGCAGCAGATCAATGATTCTTTCTCATCATTGATGTTTCTGTCTCTGCCTCTCCATTCCTCTCTGCAATCAATAAAAATGTATTTTAAAAAAAGTAAAACGTAATTACTGTCAAATGTTGTCACTAAGTTAAATAAGATGTGAACCGAGAAATGACCTCTAGATTTGTCAACATGGAAGAAGCAGGTTAATTTTGGCAGGAAAAGCTTCACTGGTGTGGAGGGCCTGAAAGACAAATTGGAGTAAATTCTGGAGTGGGTCAGACAGCTGTAGGAAATTTCAGGCCCAGATGATTTCTTGGTGAATTTTATCAAATAGCTGTTTGGAATTTTGCTGTAAAAGGGAGCAGTGAAATGGAGCTGTTAGTGTAAAGAAGACATTTATTAACATTGTTATTGACCAAAGAGACATTTTAATAGGATGGCTTCATTATTTAAAATTAAATTTATTGAGATGACATTGGTCAACATGATCATATAGGTTTCAGGTATGGGTCTCTATGTTACAAGATCACATATTGCACTGTGTGCCCACCACCCAAAGTCAGATTTTCTCCTATCATCATATGGTGAGACCACATTTACCACCCCCCTTTTCCCATTGGCAGCCACCACACTGCTGTTTGTGTTCACAAGTTTGTTTTAAGCTTCTTCTATTGAACGGCTATCTCCTTTTTGTCCCTGTCTTATATACTGACTTATTTCACTTAGCATAATGTTCTCAAGGTCCATCCATGTTGTAAATGGAGCTATTCCATCCTTTCTTATGGCTGAGTAGTATTCCACTGTGTGTATGAACCACATCTTCTTTATCTACTCCTTTATCGCAAGACACTTAAGTTGTTTCCATGTCTTGGCCACTGTGAATAATGCTGCAGTAAACATAGGGGTGCATATATCATTGCAAATACGTAATTTCCAGTTTTTTGGATATATACCCAGGAAAGGGATTGCTAGCCCATATGGTAGCTCTATTCTTAATTTTTTGAGGAATCCCCAGACTACTTTCCATAGTGGTTGTACCAGTCTATATTCCCACCAGCAGTGAATGAGGGTTCCCTTTTTTCCACAACCTCAACACTGGTTATTGCTTGTCTTGTTGATAATAGCCGCTCTAACACGTGTGAGGTGGTATCGCATTGTAGTTTTGATTTGCATTTCCCTAATTGCTTAGTGAGGTTGAACATTTTTTTCATATATCTATTGGCTGCTCATATGTCTTCTTGGGAGAGGTGTTTCCAGGTCCTCTGCCTACTTTTTGATTGGGTTGTTTGTTGGTGTTGAGTTTTATGAGTTCTTTATATATTTTAGAAATTAAACCTTTGTCAGAGCTGCTGCTTGCAAATACTATCTCCCATCTGGTTGGCTGCCTTTTTGTTTTATTGTTAGTTTCTTTTGCTGTGCAGAAGCTTTTTAGTTTGATACAGTCCCATTCATGTATTTTTGCCTTTACTTCCCTTGGAATGGCTTCCTTTAAGAAGAGGACTTTATATCTATAGGCGATATTCTAACTCTCTAGTAAAGACTTGGAATTTGGAGTCAAATGTTGTATACTAGTAATTGTGTTGCCTAAGGGAAAATTATCAGATTCTTTGAATTTGGTTTCACCACCTATAATTAATACTGAAAGTGATACCTCATAAGGTTGAAATGTGCTCATGCTTTTAAAGAACAGGTATTACCCTTTTTGGTATCTCTTTTTGGGTCTTAGAAGGAAATAATACAGTTTGGCCTGTCATCATTCAAATAATGGGATGAACAATGTCTATACTAATATTGTTGTAGATTGTTCTTAATCCATTGAAAATATATATCTATATTAATTATATTTAGAGAGATAGATAAAAACAATACATATTTCCCTTTCCCTTTATAAATCCAGGAGAAAAGGTGATAAGTTAGCATAAAAATGCCTGGCCGGTGCAGCTCAGTGGTTGAGCGTTCACCTATGAACCAGGTCACAGTTCAATTCCCGGTCATGGGGGTTGTGGGCTCAATCCCCAGTAGGGGGTGTGCAGGAGGCAGCCAATCAATGTTTCTCCCATCCTCTCTGAAATCAATAAAAAAAATTTATTTTAAAAATTGACAAGCAGTTTTTGGACAGTCTGGTGCTGGGCAGTGTGGATGGGTGGAGGAGAAAGGATTTAACTTCACTAGATTTAACCACTAGAAGGTAGTAGTTCCACATTCACAGAAGAGTATACTCCCATTTTCTATTGGCATGTTTTGCTTTCCCCTAGATTTAGTGAACATTAAATGCTGTCTTGAAACATCTCATATTGGTTGTGGGTTGAGTTAGTTCATTACATAGACAAGTTACTTATTGTCTTCATTCTTCGGTCAGGCTTTATTTTTATTGGTTGTTTTGAATACATTTAATATATTTTTAGAGCTGCCAAAAACAAATGTAATAGGTAGTGTCCTGGGGCTACAGCTAGGCTTGTTGGGCTCTGATCAAACACTTTACCTTTGGCAGGCTTTTGAGTACTTCAGTTCTCATGTGTGGCTTGTTTAGTTAAGTTCTTAGAAGTTCACATTCCAAATAATAAAAACTTTGGACAGATTAATTTCAGCAAAATTCTTTGATTAAGCTTTTAGCTATAGAATGGCATAACTACTATTTCCTTAAAACCAGTCTTAAAAATAACACAGGTAGATATTGTTATATTTTATTCCTACATATAATATTCAAAGTCTGATCCTAATCAAGGGAATTTAATACATTTCTGGTCTTTCTACTCTCTTAATGAAATTAATTAATAGCATACATAAAGTAAATACAATAAATTAATAGCAAAGACTGTAATTAAATTAATTTAAAGAAGGCCCAAATTCCATAATCTGTGAAATAACAGTTGTGTATAGCTTCCATTTGTCCCTGTGTCTTCTCTTTGGGGCAAATTACTTCTCTGATCATGAAGATTTAAACCAAGGAGAAATTTTTCAGGTCCTTTGAGTTTTGTTCTTTGGGAAGATTTAGGAAAAAACTCTTTTCCTAACATATGAGGGAGTGGGGGCTGTCAGTTTTCTTTTTATTGTGGTAGATATTTTTGGTATACTGTTTTACTCTTGGTTCTTTCTCTGTTTCAGAGTCTGATAAAGAGGAGAAACCACAAAGTACTGTCATACCCAAGGAAGTGACACCAGCCCTGTGCTCATTAATGAACAACTATGGCAGTCTGTCAGGGTCAGAGAGTGAGCCAGAAGGTAAGTTATGGCCTCAGTTGTTGCAATGGGTTTGTTTTATTTTGTTGCTTTTGCCTTTGATATATACTATGCATCAGTAGTGTCCATTCATGTGTATGTATCCGAGGAAATATGTGTCATGCACGTTCCTATTTGATATTTAAATTCCTATTTCATTTGATTCAGAAGTAAAGTTAACATGGAACAAAGGAAACAAATGGGGAAATGTATTGCTATTCTGGGAGAAAAAGGTAAACATAATGCAGTGAGAGAATGGGAAGAAGAGAGAATATTGATTAATGGTATTGAAGAAAATTCTAAAAGATATAACAAAGAAAGTTAATTTCTTGTCTCTACTCTCCCTGCATCTTTGGTGGGTAAAAAGAGGTACTTTATGACAGAGATGATGATAGACTTTCCTAAATATATATAGGGTATTGTTCTTCATAGAGCAAATTTACATAAATTACCTCACTTTTTAAAAAAATATATTTTATTGATTTTTTACAGAGAGGAAGGAAGAGGGATAGAGAGTTAGAAACATCGATGAGAGAGAAACATCGGTCAGCTGCCTCCTGCACATCTCCCACTGGGGATGTGCCTGCAACCAAGGTACATGCCCTTGACTGGAATCGAACCCAGGACCCTTCAGTCCGCAGGCCGACGCTCTATCCACTGAGTCAAACCAGTTTCCGCAAATTACCTCACTTTTTAACAAAGCAACCCTGTACTTGTGGTTGCATTAGTTTTAAAGGTTAGAAGAAATGAATCCTTTCAAGAGTCTGAGAAGTCAATTATGTTTTACCCTTAGAAATGATGATGAGTCAGTTTAATCTCTAGCATCTCTTAAAAGAGCTGTGAGTTGCCTTGGCTAGTGTGGCTCAGTTGATTGAATGTCATCCCATGCACCCAGAGGTTGCTCGTTTGATTCCGGGTCATGGCATGTGCCCAGGTTGTGGGCTTATATTTAAAAAGAGCTGTGAGTAGGCCATTGATCTGTTGCAGTGTCGTTTGCAGTTCTTAACCCAATGTTCCTATCAGTCGTTCAGGGCATATGCTTCATGAATAAGCCTGTGTCCTGCTGTTGTGGAAGTCTGACTCTTCATGGTAATTTTATTTAGGCTTTACCAACCATGAGAGAATTCATGTGTATGTATCGCAGGCCAAGATGAGTAATCACAGTAGGAAATGTACTGGAGATCAGAATATAGAGTCTAACAGTGAATATACAGAATGAAGGGGAGATTTGAATGTAAGTGGATGAGGATGGCAGCACTTTAATGTTGACTAGGCTAGAGAGAATCAGTGTTTGTATAGTTGGAAGATATTAAAGAAGAAAGAATTGGGTTTTAATATGAAAGATAATGTTTAGATCTATCTGTAATAGGAATTTTTTTTTTTTCTTTTTAAAATGGGTTCTGGTTTACAATGGTAGCTGGTTAAAAGCTACTTGTAGTTTTTGAAATACAAACTACTTTGGCTTTATCAGATAGTTGCCCTTTTTTAAAGAAAAAATGAAAGTAGTATTTATCTCTTTACTCTTGTTTCCAGTGCACTGATATGAAGATGGAGTTATTCTTTAAACACATATTACATTTTCTGCTTATCAGTTGTATTTATGACAGGTGATAGCAAAGAAAGCTATTACCAGATTACAGAATCCAGTAAAAACAAGCTGTGTGAATGCTTTCTTCTCTCTCTCTTAAGATAAAACATTTAATGCTTTTATACTCATGTCTTCATTTTGAGGCTACCACCTTTTTTTAACTAAAAGGAAGAAAAGAAACGAAGGGATCTTTGAGGTCCCACCCCTTCATTTCATAGAACCTTAAGCTTAGAATGGATAAGCTTCCAAAGCTAGTGTGAGGCTGAGCAGATGCAAAGGTTAAGTTTAGGGACTTAAACGTGTAAAGAAGCCAGCTATAGTGCCTTCCAGTAGAGCCTCTCTCTGTGTGGCATTTGTTGTCTTCTTGCACAGTAAGTCATAACCTTTTTTTTTAAATTGGGGTGACATTGGTTAATAAGATTTCATAGGTTCAAGTGAATGTTTTGATAACTACCATACTGTTATCTGTGCCTATGAGTTTCAGTTTTGAAATCATATAGTTCTTAGCTTTTTCTGATGGGCTTATTTTGCTTAGGATAATGTTCTCAAGGTCTATCCATGTTGTCACAAATGGCAGTATTTCATCTTTTCTTATGACTAAGTAATATTCCACAGTGTATATGAACCACATCATCTCTATCCAGTCCTTTATCGAAGGACACTTGTGTTGTCTCCATGTCTTGGCCACCATGAACAATGCTGAATGAACATAGGGTGCATATATCTTTGTGAATAAATGTTTTCGAGTTTTTCGGGTAGATACCCAGAAGAGGAATTGCTGGGTCATATGGTAACTCTATTCTTAATTTTTTGAGGAACAATCATAGTGGTTGTACCAGTTTACATTCCCACCAGCAGTGAATGAGGGTTCCCTCTTCTCCACAACCTCTCCAACACTTGTTATGAACTGTCTTGGTGATAATAGCCATTCTAACAGGTGTGAAGTGGTATCTCATTGTAGTTTTGATTTGCATTTCCCTAATAGTGGAGAAGAACATCTTTTCATATGAACATCTTTTCATATATCTGTTGGCTATTTGTATGTCTTCTTGGGAGAAATGTCTATTTTAAGTAGGCTGCCTATTTTTTAAAAATATATTTTATTGATTTTTTACAGAGAGGAAGGGAGAGAGATAGAGAGTTAGAAACATCGATGAGAGAGAAACATCGATCAGCTGCCTCCTGCACATCTCCTACTGGGGATATGCCTGCAACCAAGGTACAGGCCCGTGACTGGAATCGAACCCGGGACCCTTCAGTCTGCAGGCTGATGCTCTATCCATCGAGCCAAACCGGTTTCAGCGAGGCTGCCTAATTTTTAATTGGATTGTTTGTTTGGTGTTGACTTGTATGAGTTCTTTATATATTTGGATATTAACCTCTTGTCGGAGCTGTTCTTTGCAAATACGGCAAACCCTTGATTTGCGGGCCTTGGTTTAACAGACTTTGGATTGAATGGATAAGCTATCCAGTCCGTATGTCACTTGTGAAAATTAACAGCCTATTAATTTTAAAATGCTTTTAACCAAGATTTGCTGAGGATTTGTCATATATGGCCTTTATTATATTGAGTTACTTTCCTTCTATTCCTATTTTATGGAATGTTTTAATCATAAATGGGTGTTGTGTCTTATCAAATGCTTTTTCTGCATCTATTGATAAGGTCATCTGATTTTTATTCGTTGTTATGTTAATGTGGTGTATTACATTGATTGATTTGCATATGTTGAATCATCCTTATGCTCCTGGAATGAACCCAGGTTGGTTGTGATGTGTCATTTTTTTATGTATTGTATTTGATTTGCTAGTGTTCGTTTAGGATTTTTACATCTGTATTCATCAGGGATATAGGTCTTTAGTTTTCTTGGTTCATGTTATTCTTGCCAGATTTTGGTATCAGGGTTATGTTGGCCTCATAAAAGCTGTTAGGAAGTGTTGCCTCTAATTCAATTTTTTTTGGAAGAGTTTGAGAAGGATAGGTATTAAGTTTTCTTTGAATGTTTGGTAGAATTCACTGGTGAGGCCATCTGGTCCTTTTGTTTTTGGGGAGGTTTTTGATGGTTGTTTCAATTTCGTCATTGTTGATCAGTCTATTTAGATTTTCTAATTCTTCATGATTCAGTCTAGGAAGGTTATATATTTCTAGGAACTTACCCTTTTTTTCTAGATCATTGAATTTAGTGACATATAGTCTTTCATAGTATTCTAGTATGATCCTTTAGATATCTGTGATGTCTATGGTAACTCCTCTTTCATTTCTGATTTTGTTTATATGAGTCTTTCCTCTTTTCCTTAGTGATTTTAGCCACAGGGTTGTCAATTTTATTAATCTTTTCAAAGAGCCTGCTCTTTGTTGCATTAATTGTTCTCTATTTCATTCAATTCTGCTCTAATTTTTATTATTTCCTTCTAACTTTGAGTTGCTTTTGTTCTTTTTCTAGTTCTCTAAGATGTAATGTTTAAGTTGTTTACTTAGGATTTCTCTTGTTTCTTGAGATAGGCCTGTAATGATATAAACTTCCCTCTTAATACTACTTTCACTGCATCCCAGAAGTTTCGCATTGTCATTCCCATTTGTCTCTGTATATCTTTTAATCTCACCTTTAATTTCTTCACTAGAATTTGTGCAGTGGGACCCCTCGGTCTGGCATGTGGGATTAGGCCAAAACCGGCTCTCCGACATCCCCCAAGGGGTCTTGGATTGCAAGAGGGTGCAGGCCAGGCTGAGAGACCCCACTGGTGCACCATTGGAGCTGGGGAGGGACGTGGGAGGTTGGCCAGCTGGGGAGGGGTCGTGGGAAGGCTCCAGGGCGTGTCCAGTCCATCTCCCTCAGTCCTGATTCGGCTGGACCCCAGCAGCAAGCTAACCTACCAGTTGGAGCATCTGCCCCCTGGTGGTCAGTGCATGTCCCCCCCCCCCTGTGGTCAGTGTACGTCATAGCGAGCGGTCAATTATGTCCATTTGATCTAATGTGACATTTAAGGCGGATATTTCTTTTCTTTTCTTTTTAATATATTTTCTTGATTTCAGAGAGGAAGGGGAGAGAGAAATAGAAACATCAATTATGAGAGAGAATCATTGATTAGCTGCCTCCTGCACGCCCCACACTGGGGATCGAGCCCACAACCTCCCTGTCCAGGAGTCAAACCATGACCTCCTGGTTCATAGGTCAACGCTCAACCACTGAGCTATGCCTGCTCGGCAAGGCTGATATTTCTTTATTGATTTTCTGTTTGGTTGATCTGTCTACAGCTGGCAATGGAGTATTTCGGTCTCCAACTATGATAGTGTTTTCGTCAGTTTCTCCCTTTAGTTCTGTTAGTGTTGTTCTATATATTTTGGTACTCCCTGATAAGCTACATTAGTCTTCTTGATGGTAGTGTTCTTTTTATCATTATAAAATGTTCATCTTTGTCTCTTCCTACCTTGGTTATTTTGAGATATATTTTACTAGACATAAGTATGGCTATGCCTGCTTTTCTGTGGATGCTGTTTGCTTGGAGACAGCC